GCGTGACCGTGTCTCGTACAGCTGAACATACCGATGTCCACAGCCAGCATCCCTGGGTGTGTACTCGGGGAAGTAGGGCCATGGCCGCCGGGGGACATGCATCCAGTGGTCATAGCACCATTGTTTATGACAGCCCCAAACATAAAAGCAACTGAGAGGTCACCAACTGCAGAGGAAATCAACCTCATTGTGGTATAGCATGCCACGGGACAGTATACAGCAATAATAATAATTTTTAAAAAGCCAAACTATTGCCATACACAAGGACATGTCATAGACACAATGTTGAGCATGAGAAAGCAGGTCCTGGAAGGCATAGTGGATGATTCCACCTCTAACTTTTAAATTAAGTAACACGTAGTGCCAGAGGTCAGAGCTGCAGTTTCCTCTAGGGCGGCCGCGCCCGCAATTAGTTATCGAGGAGGGGCCTGCTGGGCCTGGCAGACTTGGCATCTTTCTCTAGAAGAAGCTTCCATGACTGCAGAGCTATGTAAAAGGTCACTGGATAATAGTTAAGTGACCCCGAGATTTGAGCACCCACGGTAGAAGTGGTATCTATCGATAAAAACTAGAAATACTAAAGGAAAAAATACGGGGAATCCATCTGGCCTTGAACCTTACGCCAGCAGGGGATACTGCAGAGTGAAGTTTTTTAAATTTTTTAAATTTTTATTTTTTTAATTCCAGTTAGTTAACATGGAGTGCTGTTAGTTTCAGGTGTACAATATAGTGATTCAACACTTCCATACATCACCCTGTGTTCATCACAAGTGCCCTCCTTAATCCCCATCACCTATTTCCCCCATCCCCCCACCACCTCCCCTCTGGTGACCATCAATTTGTTCTCTGTAGTTAAGAGTCTGGTTTTTGTGGGTTTTTTTTTTTTTTTTGGTCTCTTTTTTTTCTTTGTTTTTGTTTTTTAAATTCTACATAGGAGTGAAATCATGGTATTTGTCTTTTTCTGACTACTTATTTCATGTAGCATTATACTCTCTAGCTCCATCCATGTAGTTGTACATGGCAAGATTTCATTCTTTTTTATGGCTGAGTGATATTCCATTTATATCTTCTTGATCCATTCATCTACCAATGGTTACTTGGGTTGCTTCCATAATCTGGCTATTGTAAATAATGCTGCAATTAACATAGAGGTGCATGTATCTTTTCAAGTTAATGTTTTCATGTTCTTTGGATAAATACCCAGTAGTGAAATTACTGGATCATATGGTAGTTCTATTGTTAATTTTTTGAGGAACCTCCATATTGTTTTCCAGAGTGGCTGTACCAGTTTGTATTCCCACCAACAGTGCACAAGCGTTCTTTTTTCTCCACATCCTCAACAATACTTGTTGTTTCTTGTGGTTTTGATTTTAGCCATTCTAACAGGTGTGAGTTTTGATTGTAGTTTTGATTTGCATTTTCCTGATGATGACTGATGTTGAGCATCTTTTCATGTGTTTCTTGGCCTTCTGGATGTCATCTTTGGAGAAAGGTCTATTCATGTCTTCTGCTCATTTTTAATTTGATTATTTGTTTTTTGGGTATTGAGTTGTATCTGTTCTTTATATATTTTGCAAAATAACCCTTTATCAGCTATGTCATTTACCAATGTCTTCTCCCATTTGGTAGGTTGTCTCTTAGTTTAGTTGGTTGTTTCCTTTGCTGTGCAGAAGCTTTTGATTTTGATGTAGTCCCAAGAGTTTATATTTGCTTTTGTTTCCCTTGCCTCAGGAGACATATCTAGAAAAATGTTGCTGTGATCTCCACTAGGAATTTTATGGTTTCAGGTCTCACATTTTGGTCTTTAATACATTTTGAGTTTAGTTTGTGTATGGTGTAAGAAAGTGGTACAGTGTCATTCTTTTGCATATTGCTGTCCAGTTTTTCTCC